CGCGGCCTATGTGATGAGCCGAAGGGCCAATCACACAGCGCAAAAAGCGCAACGTCATGGCGTGCTCTCTACACTTGACAGGACAAGCCGCGGAGGAGGAGCACGCACAGAGAGACGGCGAATACCGGCTGGTCCTATCAACTGCAGAAAGCACGCCATGACGCTGCGCTTTTTGCGCTGTTTGATTGGCCCTTCGGCTCATAACATCGGCCGCGCTCGGACCGAAGCTGAAACGAAGTATAGAGCTTTTTTCTTTTGCCCCTATACTCTAAGAAATCCCTGCGCGTCTACTTACCTGCAAAATACTCAAACAGCCAATCTCTGCGATCTAAGAAATCACCTCAGCAAATGATAAGGCGGAAAATCCGTTTAGACCTAAAAATTAAATATGCGCTGTGGCATTACACAATGCAAAGCGCCATGCTTGATTTGCGTAATGCAACATCGCAGACTTCATTTTTAGGTCTAAACAGATGTTCCGCCTCACGATTCGATGAGCTCATTTCGTAGAGTGCAGAGGTTGGCTCTTTGGGTGTTTTGCAGGTAAGTAGACGCGGAGGCATTTCTTAGAGTGTACTATAGGAATCTGGTACCGAATAAACTTTTCAACAGTTTGAACACTGCCTAAGAACATGGCTGTCCTGAATCTGTAAAATCAGCCGATATATTCGGTTTGGTCTATCGCGTGCCATGCATATGGGCGCCGCAGTTCCACTGATCATACATACGAGGTACAAAAGACACGGTGTTCGAACATGATGACAGAATTATTCACGGGCACGCCTCGAGTATGTTCGCAACAAATTTCTGTGCTCGGAACATGTGTCCAGACGGTTTTTGTATGGTCAATGCAAGGCGAACGTCGTACAAGAAAACGGTGTCTGCGGACTGTCTTTTATGTGAAAGGTCTGACTGCGGCTTAAAACATTTTTTTACCAAACACGGACATTTGTCTGTGCCATTAATGTAGAATTTAAAATTATTATTAGTACACCCGTAGGCATAGTTACCGCGAACATATCATAGGCGCCTTTTTGCATCTTTTTTTTTCAGACACCGTTATCGTCTAACAATACAAAAAAAAAAAAAAAGGTTTTGCAGATCGCGTTTTGTTTTATTTATTTATTTTTTTTTTTTTTCAAAACGGTACGTACTGATATTAGGAAATCGCGTTGATGCACTTTGCGGACCTCCTCCTCAAAGTGCATCAGGAGGATGCACTTTATTCGAGGAAAAGGCATGAGTGTCTTCTCTCTGGTCGGGAGCCCCTAGTCCAGGGCCCCGTTGTCCTCTGCTATCCACTTAGCCCGAGCGATCAGCATTCGCTGGTCCTCGGGCTTTGCGCTAGACAGCGCAGCCTCCCAGGAGGTAAAGGATGGGTCAGGGATGGGGCGAAGGATACCTTGCCTCGGTGAAAAGGGGCAGGCCCAGGTAGAGTCAAAAAGGGAAGGTTCGGGGGATTGGCAGGTGCCCCGGTATCTGTTAGGGAAAAATAGATGTTTCTCGTACAAATTTGGGAAAGTGCGTGTTTGTATTTGCCGCCACTCAATGCCTTCCTGCCCAGATAGGTCCCTGTTTAGAGGGGGTAGTGTTCTACGCTGTGATCTGTAAAATGTTGTGATTTGATTGTACGTGTGAAGCGGTGTTGGCTCTGTGCCTAAGTTCGATGCGGCCATGTTGTGTTTCTCCGGTGCCTCCCCTTCGCCATGCAACGGCCGGCCGACTATTTCTCGGGCAAGTGCATCCGCACTCTCGTTGCCAGAGAGGAAGGTATGTTCAGGAGTCCAGACTATCTGGATTGCGGGTAGTGTGTTTTGATTAACTATGTTTAGAATTTGTCCACTTCGTTGTGAGACGACGGATCGGGCGAACGCCCTGCGCGCTGGCTGTGAATCAGTGATTATGGTACAGGTCTTGTCTGTGTTTTCAGTTTTACGCGAAATGTGTGCTGCTATTGCCGCTTCTTCGGCCTCCGCGATCGATGTGGGAGCGGCGAGAGACGCCATCGCTTGACCTCGCCCAAGCGAGTCGCAGACGACTACGCACTTTGCCTCACGTGGGGAAGTGTACTCCCCAGCGTCAGTGTAACACACGTCTGGGTCGTTTTGATATTTGAGTCTTACGTAGTGGGTAGGCGCGAGGCGTCTACCCGCATTAAGAACGGGATACATGTTCTTCGGTTGGGGCAAAACTCGTATTTTAGCCGCAATGCTCGGTGGGACAAATTTTAGCCGTATGCAGTCCTGTTTTTTAGTAAGTGGTTTGTAACCGAGCCTGGCTAAGAGATTTCTTCCAGGCTGTGTGTAGCTGAGTCTTGTACGCTGGCCGACAGCCTGAGCCTCAATCAGTTCTTCTATAGTATTGTGGATACCAAGTCGAAGAAGGCGCTGCGTGGACGTATGCTGAGGCAATCCAACCGCCGTTTTTATAGCAGTTCGGAGGATCGTGTTGAGAGTGCCTATCTCTCTACGTTTAAAGTTATGGAAAGGAACATGGTAGATAACTCTACTTACTACAGGAGCCTGGAAAATTCTCACGGTGTCGGCTTCTTTAAGCCTGCCACGCCCATTGCCCACCCTTCGTATGAGGTGGGCAATCTGCTGGCATTGCCTGCGAAGCATTTGCGCCGTGAAGGATGCCTTGCCGTTGGACTGAATGTGTAGGCCGAGTACCCTCAGTCTGTTGACTGTGGGTATCTTCTCTCCATTTAGATTTAAACAAATTTCATCTGCTTTAGTGCAAGGTTTGCCTCTAATGAGTAGAAGTTCAGACTTGTCGGCGGCGCAAGTGAGTCCTGCTGCTTCTGCAAACTTTTGAGTGATTTCGACTGCCACCTGAAGTCCCTCCTGCATCTCACAATCCGAACCCTTGCTTGTCCAGATGGCGATGTCGTCTGCATACAGAGCATGCCTGACGTTAGTGATGGCCCCCAGCAGGGTCAGGAGTCTTGAAATGGCTATATTAAAAAGAGTCGGTGAAAGGACGGAGCCCTGTGGCGTTCCCCTCCCCGAGAGCTTGATGGGCTGGGAGCGAAGATCTCCCAGTCCTAGGGTAGCGGTCCTGTCCGTCAGAAACGCACGGACATAGTCGTAAGTTCTTTTGCCGCAGTGTGCTCTGGTCAAGCCTTCGAGGATGGCGTAGTGAGACACGTTATCAAAAGCTCCCCTAAGGTCCAGTGCGAGTACCGCTCTCGTCTGCGTTCTTCCAGGAAAGTCTAGGATTTCCTCTTTGAGCTGCAGGAGGACGTCCTGTGCTGACAGATTTTGTCGAAACCCGAACATAGTGTCCGCGAAAAATCCGTTAGCTTCGAGATGGGATTGAAGGCGTCTGAGGATTATATGTTTCAGAAGCTTACCTATAAACGAAGTTAGTGAAGTGGGCCGGAGGTTCTCTAGCGTGAGAGCCTTCCCAGGTTTTGGGATAAAGGTGATCTCGGCGTGCTTCCATTCCGGTCGGAGGACACCGGTACTCTATACCCGGTTGAAGTATGATGTGAGGGCCGAAACGGAAGCCTCGACCAGATTCCTGAAAATCCTGTACGTGACTCCGTCCTCTCCGGGAGCGTGCACTTTGAGGCATGCTTCAAAACGCGCGACCCGACAGGTCTTGCATCTTTCAAGACGGTATGCCAAAACTTGCTACTACCTGTCGCCATCTTATACTGAGCAGTAGTTTACAATAAGAAAGCCACTATAGTATACCGGCCCTCTCCTGTGTGAGCAGTTTCTAATTGCGAGTGAGAGAGGCAGACGTTCACGCTCGATTGTCCCAAAAATTTGTCAAACATTCACGAATGCAGAAAGCATTAACAGAGTTTGAAGAGACAGCGTCAATAACTGGCCCCCTCATCAGTGTCGCTCGAAATGCGCCCGAGGCAAGATGTACTCGTCTACATTTTTCACAGCGGAGTACGAAAACGCTGACGCCGAGTATGGTAGGTTTTCCGACACTGAATCCAACATAGGGGAATATTTCGAGAAACCAAATAGCCTCAAAGAAATCATGAAGCGATTTTTCTACTTTCGCTAAATACTATTTAAAATTACTCCCTTATGTTAATAACTAGATAAACCTGCCTTAGTTCTTTTTTTTTTTTTCTAGGCAATAGCAGCCGCTAAAAGAACTAGAAAAATATAAGCATCGTTCATTTCTCAACTCGGAGCCAGAACAAGTGGTCACATGGCCTGGTGCCTATCTTATATGTCACCAAAGTTAATCATAACCACGCGCTGGGATTGGGAAAGTAGAAAACGCTTGCTTTAACTCCAGGCATTGTTACAGTTCGGCGGTTCTCATCACCGCAGGGGTTTGACGCGAGCCCCTATCCGAGTTTCCGCCGAGGCACTGATTTGTTACGAAACGAAGTCGAGTGTACACGCAGTTTTTTTGTCCAATCCATGAGCCGCGCTCGACTCTCGTAAGGCGAATGGTTTCGAGACCCCAATTACGTCATCAACCTTGCGGAAGCAAGAACCAGAAAAAAAATACATACCCCTTTTATTCTCGCAATTTCACCGCGACCAAGAAGCTTTTGACACTTGGGCCAGACTAAGACCAGTATACCTCTGCAAAGTACATTTGAACCCGTTATCGTACCGTGGCGCCTTTAAAGTTAGAACGTGCAACATCGGTATAAATCTTAGTATATAACAGACCGAAAAGGGCGCACGTGCTATCGCGTTCCTTGTGAGCTGAAACGGTCCTTCACGCTTCTTTGAAGTACCTGGAGAGAGCTGTCGTACCTAAAGTCCCTCAATGTTTTTTCACTGCGTTTTACAAGTACCGTCATTCTTTGCCGCGCCGACATCTGTTTCTACTGGAGGAGAGCGATGTCACGTGATTTCCGGAATTGTCGCCATTTCCGTCCGCCATTTGCTTCCAAGCTGCTCGGCTGTTCCGTCCGCTCGCGTGTTTCGTGATACTCGCCGACGACTTTAGCTCGACGTCCTGGTGTTTCTGGACCGTAATGAGGCAAGTGAAGTAGCAAGCGTTTGTGTTAGATGACGGGGTGTTGCGCTTTTGGGTGCAGCCAGAGTTCTAGTAGTGGAAAGAAGTTGTTCGCCGTTCCGCTTCGGAAAGCCGATCTGAAGAGGCAGAAGGCATGGCTCCACATGATTGGGAAGAAAAACTTCGTCCCTACCAGAAGCAGCAAGCTTTGTGAGGTGAGCATTTCTGGGCTAGTTACCTCTTCCACACACGATAACATAGGTACACATGCAATGTTTTTCCTGACGCGCCTGTCTGCCGAACTCGGTCTCAGCTGAAATGCGGCCTCGGTGCTCTGCCGTTTTAGCCTGTTGTTTTTCACTCAAAAACCCGGTTGTTCGCCTGCAAAGTTTTTCGCGTAGTCTGAGTTTTTAAGGGACACGATATGAATGGATGAAGCCGCTTCAGCTGTGAGTGTCTCGCTGTGAACCTCTAGGAAACACGAAAAGCTACTACCGAGGACAATATGAGCCGAAAACGCCTTTCATGCTTCTTTGGCTTACCACCTGTTTTTGAGAGAGCTGTGGTCCGAACTAGGAATAGAAAGCGAAGTTGAGGAATAATGAAGCTTGTGGGAGTCGCAGAAAAGGGTTGGATCGGGTGTTCCAGCTCGTACTGTCCGCGCGCGGGGAGGGCGTACAATGCGCAGCACTGTTAGCGCGAACAGAGCATCGGTGTCTCTACGTATTTTACGTCCATGGAGTGTTGCTTTGCACCAAATTTTACCGCTTAGGTTAGCGTCCCAAATTAGCCCTTCCCACCGCGCTAGCTGTTTTGAGGACGAATTTTCGATTCCGATAGAGAAAAAAGCGGCGATCACTCTTCTGCACTAACAGTGTGACGCTCTGTACCTCCAAACAAAGTCGAATTTTTTAGTGTTCTCAGTGCACTGTCCCGTGAATTGCAAGTTAGCACTGTTCATTCTCGACAGGATGATTCTGCATCGGATCAGTTTGAACCTCGGATCTGGCAGAGATATGGCATCAAAAAACTTAAACCAGACGCTGTCCCCACCAAGTTTAGCCATAGGCTGCCAAAGCCAGTTCGAAGACAATCGCGAGAAAGGGAAATGGGAAACGTCCAAGGTAAGTTGACACAGTCAGAGATGGTGAATTTGCAGTCACTTGGTTGCCAGATTTGGTATTAAAATGCTACCTATTTTAAGCAGGGGAGCCAATGCAGGAGGAAGACAGCATCCAGACGCTTCCATCTCTGGATTCAACTGCTGCTCTCACAGGTGTCGTATTTCCTCCTTCACAGAATATTGAGAATATGCTTGTCCAAGGTGATGAATTAATGCAAGTAGCATTGAAATGCATACTGACAAAGTTTACAATTTCAGCACAAGCCTTGCCCACGCACACAGAGGCACAATCCAGCAAAGTGCAAAACTGCGACCAGGAGTCTGTGCCTCAGGCGGGACCTCCAGTTGGTGAGTCACACGCAATTCCAGCATTTAGTAGCCGGGCACACGCCAGCGACATGCAGTCACAATCATTCTTAACTCGAGCGTGTGCCAGGCATACTCTGGGCTAATTCATCCGTTCCTTCTTTTTCGGCCTGTATTTGCCCATCTCAAATGTAGTATGTGCTTTCTTGGGCATTCCTGCAACAATTGACTATCCTGCCATGTGTATATGTGCAGTATGTACCCAGGAAATCATAAAAAAAGTATTGGAATTTTTGTAAGCGTGCTCTTCTGTGCTTTGGGTAAGTGTTGATTTGCGCCATACATGCGTCCCTGCCAGGGGCGGATGCAAAGATTTCCTAAGGGGGGGGGGGGGGGGGGGTCAGGTGTTGGTCAGCGTACCATACGTTTAGGAACCCCCTCCCCCTCGTTTCACGTCCTAAATTTTACACATGCAAAAATCAAGAGGGGGGTCAGGTCATCCGGACCCCCCCTCTAAATCCGCCCCTGGTCCCTGCTGTAATGAACAGCATGAGTGGAATTTAACTGCCTGCTGATGAAATTCCCGGCTTCAGCACGAGCCTTGCCCATACTCACAGCCGCCCACTCCAGCGAGATGCAAAGCTGCGACTGGGAGTTTGTGCCCAATGCGGATGCTGCAGTTGCTGAGTAACATGATGGCCAGACACAAATGCTGCATGACATTGTTAGTGCGAGTACAACTGCGGCACTCTTTGCGTTTTACTTTGAATTAGTAAATTCTGGCACGAAATAATAGGGTGCAACTTTGTGCCCCATATGAACGTTTTTCATCCCTTGTTTGCATTAGCAGTGTCGCACTATGTTAGGTCAGAACCATCCTTAACACCAGTGGGGTGAGGCGTACGGAATTCATGCCATAGACCGATCTCACCAGCCAGTTTGACTACGCGCCATCGCTGTCGCAATGCATTGAGGGAACTTCAGTCTTTCTGCACGTGCCCGAAACACTGGAACTCTGCGCGTGAGACAGCACAAGCCGTTTGGGGCACCGCCGTCTACCTATTGTGAACGAAAGTTATGGCGGCTTCATGCATGCGCCGAACGCTTGGTGAGGTGGGTCTATTGGTGGCAGGACGACAACAATATCTTTCTTCTTGTCTCTATTGGTCCCTCTGAAAACAAATGCATTTCTGTGACCATTGACTGCTCTGCCATACAATCGTCTGCTGCATGCACCATATTGTGGGGTTTCATTTTGTGCCTACAAAATTTACAGGTTCACTGCAAGTCTCGGTACAAAAATCGAACATGGCAGGCTCCATCCTAATAAGAACTGTTGGTCATTGCTCTGTGCTTAAACAAAGTAAGTCAATGCCAAAGGGTGCAATATTGCTTTTGCATGAAATTACACACAGAACATATAAGAGCTTTTTGTCAATTCTCAATTAATGCTGCAGGGAGCAGCTCCCTCCACAATTATGAGCATCCTTATAAAAGTACAAATGACAGCCATGTGTAGAAGTGAACGACAGGACTGACGCTCGCTGTTCTCCTTGCTCGATACTCAGGAGCGGTTCCCTCATTCCTGGCAGCAGGCTCCTCCGTCCAGCCATGTACACCGCGGGGGACGACTGCCTCAAAGGGTGAGACGTTTCCCTGATTAAATGACAGCCATGTGTAGAAGTGAACGACAGGACTGATGCTGGCTGTGCTCTTTGCTCGCTATTCAGGTGCGGTTCCCTCATCCCTGGCAGCAGGCTCCTTATTTCAGCCAGGTACACCGCAGGGGACGAGTGCCTCGAAGGGTAAGGCATTTCCCTGAACGAATGACAGTCGTGTGTAGAAGTGAACGGTAGGACTGATGCTGGCTGTGCTCTTTGCTTGCTACTCAGGTGCGGTTCCCTCATTCCTGGCAGCAGGCTCCTCCGTCCAGTCATGTACACCGCAGTCATGTACGCCTCCCCTGGATCCAATAGGTCAATCAATTCTTGGTGCTCCCCTTCTTTGTCATCGGTTGCCCAGATTCCTCGCCAGAAAGTAATCACCTGATCAACATCAATGTTCTCGTCCATCTCCTCCTGGTCTTCGTCAAGTTTCCGGTAGAAGGCAGACCGATTGAGCTCGAACAGCTTGTTCGTTTTCCGATACTCAATCCGGTTTGCCGCAGTGACCGGTTTTTTGTGAAAGACTGCCCTTTCCTCTTCGATCCGGTCCTCAAGCTTGTGGGAAGCCGAGGAGGACGACGGCGCGCGAGGGGGCAGGAGCGGTGGCCGGCGGCCCGGTGCGCGTGACAGAGTGCACGAGGATTCCGCCAAGCACGGTCAGGACAACGACAGCGACTGCCAGGCCCAGAACCAAGAGGCCGAACAATAAAACGATTTGAATCAATCCTTGCTCGTGTGACTTCTTGGGAGGGCGGACCAGGCAGGGACCGATTGGGCAGCAGTATAGTAGAGCGACCCACACAACTGGCGCTTCCAACGTGGGGCCCGATTGGTTTGCTGCATGTTCTTTTCGTCCCGGGGAGTCACAGAGATCTATTGAGCGTTCAGCGTGGTGTAGAAGGGTAAACGCTAACGATGCCTTCCAAGACGAGGACGACTCGTCTGAGAGCGGAACTCAGGAACCGACTGACGCTGCGGGGGCCGGAGAAGGCTCTAGTACGCGAGCATCTCCAGATGCTGGGATTTTAGCACCAGCTCCAGCTGGAGGCGCGGCAGACATCGGCGAGTTTATGCGCGCCATGACGGCGATGATGGAGACGTTCTCGCGACAAATCGCGACGGCTCCAGGAGTCGCGAGTGCCGCGCCTACGTCCCTGCCCCGACCGCGGTTGTCCGTACCGACGCCGACCTACGCGGGATATTCCGACGGGAAATCGGTCCACGATTTCTTACAGGACTTGGACGCGTATGTAGCCGCGTTGGGAGCATCAGACGAAACGGCCTTGGTGCAGATCGTGCCAATCGCGTTAACGGGCGACGCGTCGCGCTGGAGACGGTTGCAACGACCGTTCCTATCGATGGCGGACTTCCCGACGCGGTTTAGGGAGGACTTTTTGCCCCCTGATTACAAGATGCGGATTAGGGACGAACTAGCTAATCGCACTCAGCACCCCGACGAGAGCCTCGTGGAGTACGTTCGCGCGCTCCAAGAGCTCTACTCGAGGGCCGAACCATCCGCGTCTGACGCAGAGAAGGTAGCTAGAGCGATACGGCAATGTCACCCTAGATTCAAAGCCTATCTGCGCGAACAGGATTTCGCGGATCTGGAGGCACTTGCCAGAGAGGCGCGAACTGTCCAAGCGGGCTTGCTCGCTGAGCTGCAGTACCGCCCCCCTCCGAGGGCCGAGGAGTCCCTAGAGCCAAGGTGCGCGTGGGCAGGACGCGCCGCAGACACTCACATCGAGTCGCGGACAGCGTATACGGCTGTTGCGGAGCGCGGTCACGGGGTAACTATAACGCCCCGGGCTTTGGACCCCTTCGCTTACGAGCAAAGGCGCAGGGCAGCCAACGCAAACTCGGCCCGAGTGCGGACCCGTAGGGGTGGCGCAGTGGTCAACCACCGCAGAGGCGCGACTGGTCACGACAGTCGCGGGAATCATGACTCACCGCGGTTTGCCACAGATGAAGTGTCGCGTGAGAGGAGCGATGGACAGGTTGCGCGTAACCAACGGCCACAAGTCAGGTGTTACAACTGTCACCGTCTTGGGCACATCAGGCGGCATTGCACGTGGGTAGCGTCTGGTTCTCAGGGTTCCCAGGGAAACGCCAGAGACCGGCGCCACTAATCAGGTCCTCTGAGTCGAGGTTGCCGGCCGCTGCCGAGGCCCAGTATCAGTGTGCCGACAGGGCGGAAATTGTGGCCGGCGACCGCGTGGCGATGGCCCCGTCGGCGTGTCGGGCTCAGAGCACGACACCTGAGAAGAGCCCGTGCGTGCGTGTAGAGATCGGTGGTAGAGAATATTCGGCACTAATTGACACCGGTTCTACCCTTTCTCTAATTGGCGATAATGTGTACGAGGACTGCCGTAACAGGAACGTTTGCGCGCGGTAACTTGTAACACCGCTGCGTTTAGCGACAGTATTGGCCGAAGCGCAAGGGGCGATGCGCCTTCACCTTGGCCTTGACGGCAGACGAAGGAGGCAACGTTTCGTTTACTTGCCCGGTATGTCGATTCCTGTTATTTTGGGGCAGTATTTCGTCTGTCGTGAGGGCATAATCCTGGACTTGAGGAACAACGGGTATCGTTATAATGCGTTTTCTCCTCTTATTCCCTTTGTTGCTCGATCATCTCTGGTGCAGGGAATGGAACGTTCACTTGCTGCGTCACACCAGGAGCAGGTATTAGCTGCGCAAGTCGTGCCCGGGAACGTCGAAATGATAATTGCGTCTTTCGATGGGCCCGCCGACTAACGGCGGATGCTAGCGAACGCCTTGTCCCAACACGCAGCTATGTTTGCCGAGAGACCGGGGCTTACGACTGTTTTACAGCATAGGATAGATACAGGAGAGGCCAGGCCGTGGGGGTGTAATCCTAGACCACTAAGCGTACATAAACGGTCCCTCCTAGACGCGGCTCTCGAGGAGATGGTTGACACAGGGGCGGTGCGGCCATCGCAGAGTCCCTGGGCGTTTCCAGTAGTTTTGGCGCCAAAGAAAGACGGCACCGCGCGCCTTGATTACCGAAGACTTAATGACGTCACTAGAAGGGACGCGTATCCTTTTCCCTCTATTGAGTCTATAATGTATTCGCTTGGAGGCGCGAGGGTTTTCACCATGCTGGATTGCAGCAGGGGCTTTCTCCAGATCAAGGTGGCGCCAGACGATGTCCAAAAGACGGCGTTCACCTGTTACAGGGTGTTATTTGAGTTTACGCGTCTTCCGTTTGGGTTGTCAAACTCGCCGTCGAGTTTCCAACGGCTCATGGACATTGTGCTGGGTGAAGCGAAATTTAACTTCGCCATGGCCTACATGGATGACGTTGTGGTATTCTTCAAGTCGTTCAAAGAGCTTTTAAGTCATCTCGAGATCGTCTTAAGGCGAATGAGTGAGGCCGGTCTAACAATTAATCCAAAAAAGGTGCAACTGGCCGCCTCAAAGGTAAATCTTTTAGGCTTTGTCGTAGACAATGGTACCTTGAAGCCGAACGATGAGAAATTGAGGGCCATTCTCGATTATCCACCACTGCACGATGTAAAGAGCCTTCAAAGGTTTCTGGGGATGGTTGGCTTTTACCGGCAGTTCATCCCGATGTGCGCGGAGCTAGCGCGGCCTTTGAATCTGCTGCTCCGGAAAGGCTCAAGGTGGGTCTGGGGTCCAGAGCAGGGTCCTGCCTTCTCGTCTCTCGCGAGGGCAATAGCAAGCACCGCTAGCCTTCGGTTACCAGATCTTAATCGGCATTTTGTTGTGCAGACAGATGCGAGCGACTACGGTGTCGGAGCAGTATTGCTACAGGAGCACGATGGACAGTTGCGCCCTGTGGCATTCGCTAGTCGAACGCTCACACCGTCGGAACGCAACTACAGCGTGACGGAAAAGGAGGGGTTGGCCGTCATGTTTACTCTGAAGAAGTTCGACCTCTATTTAGACGGTACGACTTTCGTTATTCAGACTGATCACGCAGCACTTACCTGGATTCAGAGGCTAAAAGAGCCCGCGGGAAGGCTGGCCCGCTGGGTACTAACCTTGCAGCGCTACTCGTACACGGTTGAGTACCGAAAGGGATTGACCAACAAGGTCGCGGATGCGCTCTCTCGGGCGTCCCAGGATGGTGGTTGGGAGGAGGTGACGCAACCAGAGTGTAACGAGAAGCGCGGGAAGAACAGAAGAATGTCTCCGGATGCAGGGGTGAGGTCCCTCACGGACGGTTGGGAGGAGGCGAAGCAACCGGCACTCGTAGCAGCCTTAGCGCGCGGCACGAAAGAGCAAAGGATCGTCGCTTGGGGTGAAGTGGTCAGCAAGGAAGAGCTTGTCGAGGCCCAGAAAGCAGATGGTATTTGCCAGCGGGTGTTGGGTAAACTGGCTGAAATTGCGGTTGACACCGGGAAGGCTGGCGGTCGAGTTAATGATTAATTTGATTCATATCTGCTGGGCGAAGACGGCTTATTGCTTCGCTACATCCCAACGATCGATGAAGGGGAGGGTAATGAGTCTCCCTTCATGGTGGTGATTCCCAGGAAGCTACGGAAGAGGTTTATCGGGTACTTTCACGACTCGGCTCTGGCAGGTCATGGCAGTGGCAGCAAGACTCCTCATAAGTTATGCCGCGCCGCGACCTGGCGGGGATGAGGCAAGACGTACTCCGATAACGCCCGCAGCTGTCCA